TAACACAATAATCTCTGCAATAATAGAATTATCAGGTTCTTTTTTTACAGAGGTTTCTATCATTCATTTTCGTTTCTCATACAAGAAGCTTCTAGCAATATCTAATTCTGTTGGAAGTACGCTTACAGGCAGTTCTGCCAGCTGACCAAAGGCAAGCTGATCTGTTGCCATTCGGGTAGATATTTTTGTTAAACCTGTCATTATAATCTGTGAAAAAGGAAGAATATTGATATTAAAATGCATACTATGAGAAAAACGTGGATCAAATGAAGATGTTAGTCATGAAATTATATCCTGCATCTTTTATTGTTCTTTAAAAACATTGAAATTCCTGCCTTATATTGTTCAATTTGTAATAAAGTGAAAAATATTGTAGTTTTTTGGGCCTTTTTCCTGTTGCTCAAAGTCAGAAATTTCAAATCAATGGAGGAGGGTCAAGATATGAACCAATTTTGATGAAGTTTTGAATATGTACTCCATTGAAGTAAATTAACAACTTTGGAGCGGACATTTTCAAAAAAAAGTTTTTTATGAACCGCCTTAATAAATATATATGTATATATATATATATATATATATATATATATATATATATATATATATATATATATATATATATATATATATATATATATATATATACATATATATTTATTAAGGCGGTTCATAAAAAACTTTTTTTTGAAAGTGTCCGCTCCAAAGTTGTTAATTTACTTCAATGGAGTACATATTCAAAACTTCATCAAAATTGGTTCATATCTTGACCCTCCTCCATTGATTTGAAATTTCTGACTTTGCGCAACAGGAAAAAGGCCCAAAAAACTACAATATTTTTCACATATATATATATATATATATATATATATATATATATATATATATATATATATATATATATATATATATATATATATATATATATATATATATATATATATATATATATATATATATATATATATATATATATATATATATATTTAAAAGGATTTAAAAAGAATAAAATATGGCTGATGATTGCCGAAGGGCATGAAACTTCAAGTACCATCACAAAGTTGTATTTTTTCAATTAATCAAACTCTATTATTATTACTATATATATATATATATATATATATATATATATATATATATATATATATATATATATATATATATATATATATATTGTAATAATATCTATATATATATATATATATATATATATAGATATATATATATATATATAGATATATATATATATATGTATGTATATGTATATATATATATATATATATATATATATATATATATATATATATATATATATATATCAGTATATCAGGCCTTCTCGTAAGAGACGTGCGATTACATGCCTTATATGACCGCGCATAAAGTTCTTTGTTTTAACAACTTGACCACAGCTCTTTGCAAATTTTGATAATTAGAAAAATTTGCTTTGTTTTTTTTAGTTATCAAATTTTGATAACTAAAAAAAACAAAGCAAATTAAAATTAAAATAAACAATCTATAAACTGAAAAGAGAACAAAATCCTTAAAATAATATATAATACAAAAATTAACTATAAAATATAAAATATTCAAAGAATGATAAAATAAATAAAGGAAAAACCAGAAAAAAAAATCAAAACATTTATTAAATAATATAAACTTAATTGTAAGCGTAATTAAAAAAAATTATCACAGCTCTAATAATCTTTATCATTCCTTCCTATAAATAATTAGGCTAATACAAGGGCGAATCTGTTGTGAGGGAAAGGGTCTCTGCCTCCCCTCAGATTTTTTATTTATTTTTTTTTAAATTGATGTTTAAAAACGTAAGTAACTAAAGCTGTTTAAAAGTGCCATGAAATTAATAAAATTTTATGGCGCAAGTTTAAAATTTTATTAAAAAATTAATAGGATACAGGTTGCCACAAATTGACAAATATGCGCACATTTCTTAAAAGACAGACAGAAAAACAAACATTGTGTTTCTTTAATTTTGCTTATGCAAAATTATTTTCAAAACAAACGTATTACTTCAGCCATTTTTTTTCAAAAGAATTTTGCGATCATTAGTTTTTTATTTATTATAAAAAAACGCATATTCAATATGAAAAACAATTAATTTCATATTAATTTATGCTTTGGCATTAATTAGTTAAATTAATGCCAGAACATAAATACTTTTTTCAATAGCGACACAAGTAAAATAACTAAATACTCTATAGAAAAAAATAATTATGTTTTAACATGGTTTTTGCATGCACTCACAAAAGCATACATAATTTTACTTAAAATGAATGCTTTTGCAAAAACTTTTAAAGAAACCATGCTCAAACATTTTGATTCCTTTCTTTAATTGAGAAAAGCGATCATAATGTTTAACAATGGTTTCTTTTATGTTTTTAGCAATTACATTAAAAGTTTAAAGCAAATGTATTCATTATAAATAAAATTTTGCATGCTTTTTTTAATTTTTCTTATTTTCCATAAAGTGAAATCAGGGTTTCCACTA